CTCAAGGTGTTTAGCCAAACGTAAGCCTGCTATGAGGGCTTCATATTCAACCTCATTGTTCGACGCCTTGAATTTGAAAAGAATAGCATACTCCATCGCCACTTTGTCAGGGGTCGTAAGGACTAGTCCTACTCCACAACCCTGTTAGTTAAACGAGCCATCAACATATAAACTCCATGCTGGGGTTGTTGGTTCTATTTTCTAAGCTTCCGCGGGTAATAAAACCACTTCTTTAGGCGTAGAAACAATGGCAACAGGATATGTGAAGTCGGCGATAAAGTCTGTCACTGCTTAGCCCTTCTTAGCTGGCTTTGGTTGGTAGGAGATGTCAAACTCACCTAATGCTATCGCCCATTTGATCATTCGTTGGAAGTGTCAGGACTTTGGAGTATTTGTCGAAGATGATGATTGGTAAGCACGATGATGGAGTGTGCTTCAAAGTAAAGGCGAAGTTTTTGAGCAGACATGACCATTGCTAGAGCCAATTTCTCAATGTTAGAGTATCGTGTCTCTGCATCTTGTAAGGCCTTGCTAGCGTAGTAGACAGGCCGTTCGACATTACCATCATTTTGAATGAGAATGGAACTTACTGCTGAAGCCGATACCGACAGATAGATAATGAGAGTGTCACCAACCTTAAGTTTGGAGAGCAAAGAGGCTTTACTCATGTAGTCTTTGAGGTTCTTGAATGCCTCAGCACATTCATCAGTCTATGTAATGTACTTCTTACTTCCCTTAAGTGCTTTGAAGAAATGAGCACATCTGTCTGTGGCCTTAGAGATGAACCTAGTTAAGGCTGCCACCTTGCCAGTAAGGCTCTGGATGTCTTTTGAAGTTACCATACCGTTCCTTCATGTCGATGATTGCTTTGATCTTTTCAGGATTAGCCTCAATGCCTCGTTGGCTTATCATGAAGCCTAAGAATTTGCCAGAGCCTACGCCAAAGGCATATTTGTTGGGGTTCAACCTCATTCGATACCTCTTCAAAATGATGAAAGTTTCAGATAGGTTGGTGATGTGTTGGTCAACATGTTTGCTCTTGACTAGCATATCATCAACGTAAACTTCCATGTTCTTCCCAATCTGTTCGGCAAACATTGAATTGACCAATCTCTGATAAGTCGCTCTTGCATTCTTTAGGCCGAAAGGCATGACTTTATAGCAATATAGTCCCCTGTCAGTAGTGAAAGATGTGTGTTCTTGGTCCGGAGGGTTCATGAGGATTTGGTTGTATCCTGAGTAAGCATTCATGAAGCTCAAGAGTTCACACCTTGCCGTAGAGTCTATAAGTCTGTCTATGAGAGGAAGAGGAAAACTATCTTTCGGGCATCATTTGTTTAGGTCGGTGTAATCGACACATTCTCCACAAGACCTTTTAGAGCATGAGACTTTCCTTGGTCGGATTCTTTTTAACAAGGACAACATTTGCTACCCACGTTGGATAATTGACTTCGCGGACGAAGCCTATGCCTTTGAGTTTTTCAACTTCTGCCTTCATTGCCTCGTACCGTTCAGCGTAATAAGATCTTTACTTCTGTCTCACTGGCTTGGTCTTGGGGTCAATACTTAAGTGATAACAGATTATATCGGGAGAGATGCCTGGCATGTCCTCGTATGACCAGGCGAAGACCTCAGTGTTCTCTTGCAAAAAAAAGATCAATGCCAACCGAATGGGTGGTGACAAGGTGGTACCAATCTTCACCATGCGATCCGAATAATCTTTTGAGATAGAGACCTTCTCCAACTCTTCAGCAGGTTGTGCTTGCTGGGTGAAAAAGTCATTTCGAAGATTGTCAAGTTGACTATTGCCACAGTGAAGATCCAAGTTGGCTTTGTTTGGGCTGGTCTTTATAACTTGGTCATGTACAAAAAGGGTTTCCTTGGGCACATGCAGGTGTTGTTGCTTGACCGACGTGTTGTAACAAGATCGTGCACTAAGTTGATCTCCTCTGATGTAACCATTGCCATAGGGGGTTGGAAATTTCATCAACAACATATGTGTGGATACCATGGCCTTGAGATCATTGATGCCTGTGCGTCCAAATATGACATTGTATGCCATTGGGAAATCAACCACCAGGAAGTTAGCGGTAATGGTAGCTGTAAGGGCCTGTACCAATGGTGAAAGGTAAGTGTATGCTCCCCAAAGGTTGCACGATATCACCAGAGAAGCTTATCAGAGGAGAAATCGAGCAGTCGAGCAAGTGTTCAGCTATATTAAGTGCCCTGAAAGCTTCAGCAAACATGATATTGACCGAAACCCCCGTGTCTACCAAGATTCGTCGTACTTTAAAGTTGGCTATGTGAGCTTCCATGATCAATGGGTCGTTGTGAGGGTAGATGTTACCTCTTTCTTCCTCAGGGTAGAAACATATTGGATCCCAGTTAGGCTTTTGATACTTACCTCCCCTGATGTCTTCCACGTGAAACACTTGGTGGCCAGACCCTAAAGCTCGTTCACTGTTTTTCATGGCCTTGTTGGAAGATTTAGATATGGGTGTGCCACCACTTATGGAATATATCATATGTACCTGCCGTTGGTTACGGTTACCCCTTGGAGGGTGAATGAGGAATTGATCAATTTTTCCTTCACGTGCCAAAACTTCAATATGATCACGAAGGGTGATACACTTCTCGCCGTCATGGCTGTTATGCTCGTGGTAGCAACAAAACATGCTTGTGTTCTTCGTGGGCTTGTATTCCGGGTGCCTCGGCTTTGGCTTCGGTATCAAGTGTGCTATGCTGGGGTAAATGGCCACGCATGTGGCGTTCAAAGGTGTGTATGCCTCATACCTCGGGGTAGGGGCTGTCCTGACACGTGCTTAACCCACTATGTTGACTTCCTAGAGTCGGGGATTATCATGGCGATACCGTTGGGTATCGCGATAGTGTCCCTTACTCCTTTTACTAAAATGAGACTTGTGAGGATAGAAATCTTTCCTTTTGCCCTGAGATTAATATGTTTGTTGACTTGGCAAAGTATAAAGTAAGGCAGGGGGAGGCACCGCTACCGTTTGGAAGGTCGAGGTCTTTTCATTTAGTTGGATTTGGCTTCCACTCCTTACTTGCTGATAAGGGGTGGTTGTGGGGGTTTCCCTTGATATGTCCTTGCCTCGGTAGAGGCATGGTTGTAAGCATGTACCATCACCTCAGAGTAAGTCTTCCAAGTGTTGGCATTGATCATGTACTTGAAGAAACAATCACGTAGGCCTGCCGTGAAGGCCTTGAGGGCGGTCTTGTCATCTGCCTCAGCGGAGCGAAAATACTCGTGGCTGAAACGACCGGCATACTTTCGTAGTGACTCGTCCGGCTTCTGGCGAATAGTGTACAAGTCATCTGCAGAATCCAAGCGATCGGTCTGGAAGATGTGTTGAGAGACAAACAGTTTTCTCAGTTCCTTAAATAAGTCTACTGTCTTAGGTGGAAGACAGTTATACCAGTTTAGAGCTCCGTCAGAGAGGGTGGAGGGGAAGAGAAGACATCGTTCTTCGTCGGTGTGCATCCGATATGCCATGATGGACTCAAAGAGGTTAAGGTGTTCAATTGGGTCTTCCCTTCCAGTATAGAGTTGTAAACCAAGCTTTTGTTTTGTCTTTACTTGAAAGAGGGTGTCGAGAATCCTCCTTGTGAGAGGGCCATGCCTGGGTTGGTTCCAATTAGGTATCTCAGCCTGACGTTCGGCCTTTAACTTGTCTACTTCTTCAATGAGCTGTAGGACAATGGGGTCCTGAGTAGAGTCATGTACCATTAGGATTTTCTTTCGTAAGTCTCCATCGCCTCTTGGAAGTAGGAAAGTTTGAGCAAAGGTGTGTGATTTTTCCTTGGACTCGCCATACTGACTTCTAGGGCGAGTTTGTCGCAATACCTCAGAGTCCCATGTACCTTCATGTCCCTCTGGGACCTGTCGTTCCTTCCCTAGATTAGCAGCTGGCCTGGGTCGTGGGAGGGGACCGAGTCTTTCAGAAACCCTTGGGTTATTGATCTTCTAGCATATGTGGAGGGGATTCTCTTGACGTTGCTTTAGGAAGTTCGGCAGTCACGATAAACGACTTTCGATCCTTCCAACCCTTTGCAATGAGGTGTCTTCCTCCACTTCTCCTGCTTCGGGTCGAAGCAACTGGGTTGAGAGAAGTCTCACATTGATCAATGTTTTGATGATTAGCTCGCTCCTCATCAAGGATACCCATGTCGAAGGAAAGTGACCCTCCGTGTTGGGAGGCACCCAGATGATGGTTGATATCCACAAGGGCAACGAGCTCGCATGTTTGAGTACACCTAGTTTCGTGGAGCGTCCCAAAGAGCTTCTCATACTGCTCCTAGAGGACTTCATTCTTCATTGTTATCTTGTTGTTCTGAGCTTCTAGCTCATCGACTTTAGCTTGAAGAGCAACCCTTTTTCCTTCCTTCTTTCGTTGCTTCGCACTAGGTGCAAGAGGGGTGTGTGGCTTCCTTCGCTCCCCATGTTGGAGAGGGATGCCTGGTCAAAAGAGAGTGTACGAATGGTGGAAACCAGCTTGACAAAGCTGAATAGAGTGGGAATAAGTGTCGTTTCCCACAGACGGCACCAAATGTTGATGCACAAAATCAGCGAGGACTTTGGTATAACCGAAAGTGTTAAGTTGGTGACCTTCGCTAGATTGCTCTGGTCAGTAGTGTGGATAAGTAAGTAAATGGATAGGGGCAGAGAAGTAAACACAAGATGTACGTAGTTCACCCAGATTGGCTACGTCCACGGAGTAGAGGAGTTCTCATTAATTGTGAAGGGTTTACACAAGTACATAGGTTCAAGCTCTCCTTTAGTGAGTACTAGTGAATGATTTAGTACAAATGACATTAGAAAATATTGTGAGAGAATGATCTCTATTTATAGAAAAGAGTTTCTAGTTTCGTTCTGACATTGACCCGTATCGTGTTGTGATTGGCTTATGATGTTGACACGTGTCGCGCTATGATTGGCTTCTGATATCGACACGTGTCGCTCTGTGATTGGCCTCCTGGTTGGAGGGAAACTCTTCTGGGTCCTTAACGGTATAACGTTGACCGGTGCTCAGTAGTTTCGGGATTGGTCAAGTTTGGTACAAACAGAGAACATAACACCCTTGAAACCTCAAAAGACAGACAATAAAGAACACCATTTATTAGTAGTGCATTTTTTATGGATTTCTATGAAAGATAACTCAAGCTACTTTTGTGGAGAATTGCTTTAACGGATTTCTACAAAAGTTGGCTTAAGCCATTTTTGTGGGGGAAAGGAACACCTTTTATAGGACTGCATGACTCATGATTTTCTCCAAACTCATATATTATGAGCCCAAAAGTAACACGCCCATGAAAGTAGAATCCCTCCGAAAAGCGTGAAAAGTTTAAAACATCCACTTTCGGGATATGACACTAACAAATAATCTTTCAACTGTAAATATTGAATGGCGCTTCCTTCTTTTAACTCTCCTACATCTAAAATAAAACCAACTCCATCTTCCATTATTTAGGAAACACTTTTGAAGAAGCAGTTGAAATTTTAGTAAAGATTTCAACTTGTTTATAATGAGATCTGTTTGTATCATATTTAATGGACTTTGAAACGACTGAGTATCAGTCAACTATAAAACATCATGAACCTACTAAAGCACACAAACTAACCCCAAAACAAGCGAAGGGCTATGACAGTGGCATTCAGTCATTTACTATCCCCATAATTAATGAGAGATTTTCCTCTAACTAATGAGACCAATCACAACGTGACAAATGGCAACACCACATTAATCTCATTTAATCCCACTTTGGCTAGCTCAGCAAAGTTCCTCTAACTTTGGCTCTATAAAAGGGTAACCTCTACTCACTACTAAATTAAACAGTTTGTGCGACTAAGGACATTTTGTCGCGCAAAGAATTATTTGGTCGCACATAAACTATGGCGACCTGAAAATCATCGCGCATATTTTGTCGCGCAAAGCTCGTGAAAAAAGACATTGCGCGACGAACATCTTCAAATTTGTCGCGCGTCTTAATAATTGCACGACGCTTTACTAGTCGTCGCGTGAAAGTTATACGAACAAAGGTTTTTGTTGTACGATATAAACAAGTACAAGTGCGTTTGTGGGTAATTTGTCTCAAAACTTTTTGCACGATGAAATCTATAGTAGGCGCGTGGTAATGCGCGACGAAGAGTAAGACGTGCTTAATTTTGCGCGACGACATTTCGTCGTCGCGCACATGTAATTTTTAATAAAAAAATAGAATAAAAGGAAAGAAAAAAACAGATTTCATACTAATGAGAAAGAAAAAAAAAAAGCAAATTAATGAATAATTTTTTTTATTTATAATATAAATAAAAATGTACTTACAAATATAAAGTTAAAAAAAAAGAACAAAACTACGAAAATAAAGAAAATTAACGTATTAGTTGTAATAAACGTATTAGTTGTAATAGTTAAAGAAAATTAAAAAAATTAATAATAAACATTATTAAAAAATAAAAAAAGTAAAATGAAAGAAGTCATCATTAAAAACGCACCATATATGTCGGGTCCTTAAAATGACCGCAAAGCCAAACCCAACTATCTTGTCGGTCCTCCAACTCCTTCGGACATCCCTCCTCAAGAGCGACCTACGGATCATCAAATTCCTGGAACCATTGGTGCAGGTCACTTTTCCACTGCTTGTAGCGTTCAAAGAAGAGTCGATTAACATACGTGAACTTGTCATCGTCCATGTGCTCCAAATTGTAGTTTGTCTGCAATATTACAAATATTTTGAAAACATTAGTAATAAAAGACAGTAATACATATAAATATATAAATTTTACATGAAAAGCATTAAAAAGGCGATGCTATTTACGGACAATTGATTGCGCATTGTAATCTTCGTCTCCTCCGGCATCGCCTTCCAAGACTTCCACAACATAAGGCAAAAGGTCTGCACGACATGCCCAATGTTGTGGGCCAATGCACTATGGTGCTACCCGATGTCGCTCATCGTATCCAATTGGGATACCATCGTTGGTCACCCGGGTGACCTTCCCCGTCTTCAATTGCCAACAAGGTCCCCGAGTGTTTTTCTTCGCTGCAAAGAGATGAAAAAAAAATCATTAACCCATAACTAATAACAAATCCTACTAAAATTTCGGCATAACCTCCCCTATAATTAAAACATTTCCCAAAACCCTGAAAATAACATAAACAATATACATATCCAACGTAATGATCACAACAGTTTAATAAAAGGTTCGGAACGATGAAATTTTTTTAATCTTTACATGACACAACAAATTGAACTTAAAATAAAAAAACTTAGTAAACAAGGGAATGAGGGAGTGAATTAGGATTGTATACCTGGCCGTGTACCGGAGGCATCGGTTGTGGATCTCGATGGCGACATCTGGTCCATAGTGTGGGGGCGTCGGTGAGTTCATCTGGCGTTAATAGGTAACGCCATCGAAGAAGTCGACGATGCCTGCGCCTGTGGGACTGGAGGACCATCTGAGTGAATCGGATTGACCGGCCTATGGTCCATCTCTGCCTGAGCAGTGGCGGCAGTCGTAGGTATAGTCGTTGGACTAGATGTAGCCGTCGGACTAGGTGTAGAAGTCATCGGCCTCCGGGTTCTAATGAGGTGAGACATCTACAAAATTGGCAATCAATTTGTTTAGTACACAAAGATTTTGATTCTGTTTTCACATGCTTACTACTTCAATGGCTACAAAAGGATTGCTAATTGTTGATTTGATTTCAAATTAACTTGTTAACTGAAATAAACATATGGGAATTCCAGTCCATTGGCTGGTCAAAGCATTTTCTGAATGCATATGGGCAGATTCAATGATTTTGGAGATGCAGAAATATGAAAATAATTGAAACATTCCCATCATAACAAAGTTCATGTGCTCTGTGATTTGCAGCAAAAGAAGTTTGCTAATACCTCTCATGAAAATCATATATATATATATATATATATATATATAATCTAAACTATAATGGAGGAATTCAAATTACTGTGCAAAAAAGAAAGATTAATATCAAAACGTAAATGTAACTTCAAAATTGGGAGGCCGAATTCAACAAGCAACACAATCGAGTCTATCATATTAATAAGGCAACAATAAAGGGTAATACCCCATTATATATCAACAAATCATGACAATCAACAATGCAAATCCTTAATTTAAGAACCCTGTACTTAAATTAGAAAACCCCCTAATTCGAACCCTATACTTGAAATTAAAAAACCCCTAATTTAAGAACCCTAACCCCCAGCGAAGCACCCTAAACTTAACCCCCAATTTAAGAAAACCTAATCTAACCTCACTGCCCAAAATTGTTCCCCTAAGTTAAGACCTAAATCTAACCCCAATTAAGAACCCTCATAATTACTGCAAATATTAACCTCACTGCCCAAAATTGTTCCCCTAAGTTAAGACCTAAAACTGTGTTTATATACCACTAGGACAACTTTGCGCGACGAAATAGTCGTTGCGCAAAACTATAAGCCGTCGCGCAAAATGCGTCATTAATGAGCAATAAATTGGAAGGTTTGAACGCATTCAGACAGCGCACTGCGCGACAAACACATTTATTCGTCGCGCAATATATTGAGCAACGAATAGAATAAAATAATTGTAATTATAAAGTTTACGTAAACATAGATATCTATGTTTACTTAAACTTTGTAATTACAAACAAATATTCACAAACGATTTAATATCTTAAATATTTATTCTATAAATAATTAATACCTAATATATTATTCTAAAAATAGTTAATACCTTAAATATTTATTCTACTTATAATTTATGTCTTCATCCATACAATTATTTTCAGCATAAGTACGATATTCATTAAAGATTAAAAACACATATAAACCATCGCCAGGGTGCTTACATTAGGTCTCAAACAAAAAAAAAAAAAAAAAAAAACCGAACAAGAATTCAAACCTAATTAAGTCCAAATACAAAAATTAGAAGAAAAAAAACCTTAAATTTAAAATTGTCGTACAAAACATAAACTTTGAACTACTATTTGGATGATCCTGCTCCATTCCGCAAGACTTCATAACGCCACATATTGTAACCTTCCTCCAACGCATCATTCAGCAACTTCATCAATTGTTCTTTCGGTTCATCATCAAAAACATACTTACGCTGTTACACATATATACATATAATTAATTCCAACATATAACTAAAAATTTTGCAAACTAAATTATTGATCCATCAACAATATACTTACTAATAGTTCATCCATCACAAGCTTTTTCACATTTCCCGGCACATCTTTCCAAGAACGCCACTCAGCAGTGGGGCAATTATTCCTCATAGCTGCAGTAATTGCACGAGCAAACGCAAAATGTTCTCTCATATCATGCGCGTCGGCCTTGCGCACACTCTCATTGTTGTTTTTATCCGCCATCTCAACACGAACAGAATTGTGAAGAAAATGACAGTAGAAGCGCCTATTTATAGCAAAGTTAAGATCTTTGGGCGACGAACTCTTTGTCGCACAAACATCTGCATTAAATAGCCTCAGATTTACCTTATTCAGATGTATTGGAAGGTGAAAAGTTGGTGGAACTTGCACGACGAATATTTGTCGCGCAAAAGTAACATTTCGTCGCTCAAGTTTTTCCCGCCAAATTAAATTACCCGCGTTTTCTTGTTGACTTTAAGCGACGACAAAAAATATTCGTCGCGCAAGAATACTTAGCGCGACGAAATTTTCATCGCGCAAGTTTAATTTATTTATTTTCTTTATTTTTTCTATTTTGCGCGACGAAGTTTTTTTTTGTCGCGCAAGTGTGCGACGAATTTTTGTTCGTCGCGCAACCTACTTTTTTTACTAGTGACTCTCTTCTAAGGGTAATCACTAATTGTCGTTCAACACTATATTACCACTAAACTTGCCCTTGTTGTGCTTTAAGCATGCTCTACTAACTTAAACATCGAAAGTTCTTTGACCGGTACCACCACTGGTACCTTTTGATACTCTATCTTCCTTGCAGGTTACCTTGTTCATCTATCCTTTACTGGAACGCCCTCGCGAATGCCACTTCACCACACTGTATGCTGATTCCATTTTGTGCATCAAGAAAACCATTTTTAACAAAATCACTTACGAGCAAAATTGACAACAAAGCCCCAATAAACTGGCCCTGTTAATGAATTAGAAAAGATTTTACAACTGGTAATACTCAAGTATCAGCAGTTTCGTATCCAATATAGACAGAATGATTCTAGTCAATTTGCGTATTTTTTTAGTACCTATACGTAGCTTGGCATATGGCCAATATGAATATTCTAGTATTTTATAATAGTGGTGGGATTGATAATCGATAACATTTTACCAGCTGAAAGATTGCAATCTGATCTCCCATAATTGTTTTGTTGATTTGTGTAGGTCACATAGCATAAAAAGGTAAGGAAGATATGATCAATTGTGCGTTTTGGCTGATTCTGTGGGGTTCACTTGCCCTTTATATGGTTGCAAGGGGTTGCTAGCTAGCTAGCAACAGTTATGATAGAGTCAATCTCTTCTAAAAGATTCTAGACCTTTTCTGGTTTGCAGTGGATCACATAGTCCGAATTGAAGGGAGGGAGGAGTATCTTGTTTTTATGCAGAGTCCCCGTATAAGAGTGTGTGTGTGTATTTGAGGAACATTTCTATATCACTAACCGTTGATGGATCGTTCAAATAAATTTATTTGAGAGATACTTTAATATCGATCACTTCATATTGTATTTTACCGATTGAATTGTATGTATACTAGGAATTTTGTCAAAGATTATATATGCAAAAACCACTTAAATTAAGAACCATAAGACCGTAGGATTAAATGCTTGTCAGTTTGGTGTTTTTTTCAAACCTTGTATTTGTTTATTCTGAATTTTTCTATTTTTTTAATAAAAATAATCTATGAATGATGGATTAACATGTATACGATTCAATTGTTAAAAAAATTCATGGGTGGAAATCCACAAGGTTTTCCTTTAAAACAAATATTATTTGAAGAAGTTTGGTCCAAGAGCAAAATCCAGCAAAACCTTTTGGCATGCAGCGCTTTTCCTTTTTGGACATGCAGCTATATACACTATCAAAGGTGAACGATTGTCCACTTCAAATATCACAATAGTCGACCTCTCGATCTATTTAATATACGAATGATAGCTGGAACCGATCGAGTACACTCACCAAAAGGAAAGGAAAAAGAAGCCAAATAATCCAATTCAGATGATCCAAATTAAATTGACTACGTTTATTTTAACTCTTTAAATACTTGCAAAGTGATCTGGTATGCTAAAGTTATCGATATTTTATCAAATAGGTTGAATATTAATGTAGTGCTACGACATGACTTCATCAGCCTCCAACTTTCAACCTTAACAGATTAGATTTTATAAATGATAGTTAAATACCACAAATATAAGAATTGATCTTCTTCAACTTTTTTTAATCAATAACCAAAGTATAGAGTTTCCAGTTGCCTAGGTTTGATTGATCCTCCTTTTTATATATATATAAAATATGTATTTGCATTTGATTAGGTAAAAACTTTCGTAAAGAAAGTCTCTCATATTTCCCACTTACTTGTAAAACCCATACGGTTGATTGGGTAGGAAAATATAATATAATGGTGATCATGAGTTCGATATATATAATAGAGAGGATCATGGGAATTCTCCAATCATATCCGCTCATCGTATATCGTGCGATCAGTTTTCATTAGGTACTGTTTATATTTAATTTTAATTAAAAAAAATTACAATAATTTCTGATCGCACGATGCACAATGAATATAAGTGATTTGAGAATCCTCGGCATCCTCATAAAGAGGATCTGGCGAGGATCCTCAATCTATATAATTTATCTAGTTGTGACTTGTCTCATTGCAATGACAAAACTGTTGAAATGTCCCACATCGACCATATCAATGAGAAAATAAGAGTTTAAATATCCTAACCTCACTCCAACTATTACCGAGGCCTTTTGTATTAAAACTTCACACCTAACGGATTGTGCAAGTGGTAATTACCAAGTTGGGGACAATATTAGTGTTGTTGGAAGTGTGCCGTATGGCCCCGTCTCTTTGATAATTCTACATGGTATCAGATCTAGGGAGCGGGCCCGTACTGTACTATTACGTGATGGGTGGGTCCCTTAGCCCCATGCGATGATGGTGGGTCCCTTGGCCCCGAGTGTAGGGTGAGTCCCCTTAGCTCCACGTGCTTGTAATTGTCGATGTGTGGATCTCCCACGTGTGACCCACTAATTGGGTCTCATGTGAGGGGGCGTGTTGAAATGTCTCACATTGATTGTATCAATGAGAAAATAAGAGTTTAAAAATCATAACCCCACTCCAACTATTACGAAGGCCTTTTGTAATAAAACCCCACACCTAACGGATTGTGTAGGTGGTAATTACCAAGTTGGTGACAATATTGGTGTTGTTGGAAGTGGGCCGTATGGCCTGTCTCTCTGATAATTCTACAAAAATTTCATGGCAATTGGCGCCAGATTAAACACATCATTTTTTTTTTCAAAATTGGTTAATTTAACACGTGAATGTTGCAAACATATTGTGACAGCCCGTCCCGAAACTTTTCCTCGATAGTGTGAAATGATTATAGTACCCTTGAGCGTTTATGGTGTTGTGTGGTTTAAGTTGTGGTTGTGGACCAATTATTTTCTTTCCTAAGTACTTGGACCCAATTAGAACTTAACGTCTTAGTTGTTTTTGGTTTGGTTGGCCAAACTATGAGCACTCACACACACCAAAGCAACCCATTGACC